ATTCACAATTATACAAAGCTAACTAATCTTATATTGTAGATCTAGAATTACTTAGAAAGAAATGAAAGTAATTCAGAAGGCAATATTTACAGTGTCATACTTTATGTTTCCCCAGAAGTTATATAAATTTACACAAACAGTTAATATTTATAGCTTTGATGTTATGATATCTGAAATGTCAACCAAGAGCCTTTGATGGACATGATTTTAATAACAAACTTGCAATTGAGATTAATCGTAGATTACAGCCAGAATTTACTTCTGGAACTCCTAAATACTATATTGAATTAGCTCAGCAATGTATGGAGAGAAGAAATAATCTAATGATTATTATATTTATAAAATAATTAATTTGTACAGTATTTTTCGAAGCTGAGTTTGTTAAAATTATTTAACTGTTTCTTCATCAAATAGCTAATCTAATGAATATTTATTTTCACTAATTAATCCAGGTCACCCAGATAGCAGTAGATTGACCTGGTTAACAGATCTTATACAAGTTACCTGAGTGACTCTTATATGGGTACTACCTCTAGTTATAACTATATACGTATTATTCTTTTTTATTATAATGAAGAATTTATTTAATTAGCTAAATTATCTTTCACTGATTAAAAATTAATCTCTGATTTGGATACTTAAAAGCACCCTAAATTACAATTATTTGAAGATATTCTAAATGAAATTTACAATTATATAGTATATATTTATACTTACAAATTATAATTATAAATATATGAGTATAAAAATATTTTATTATATTGTAGAATTAAGATCACTAAATAATAAACAAAATTACTTATTTACCAACTACTTTATTATATTAAACATTGCTTGAGATACTGCTACAACACAGCAGATAAATGATCTAGTCTTAGTCATAAATAAATTCTTTAAGAACTTTTTCTAGAATTCGACGATGAGAATGATATTTTTTTACTGCATTGACAGCAGTCTTTCTAGAAAGTCCAAGTTCATAAACACTCATAAAGCATGCAGAACAGTAAGCAAACCAATGAATCTTTATTAAATTAACAGAGTCTAATGCTTTTGGAACAGCTTTTTTGAGGTCTTTAAAAGTGTAATTATAATCAAGTCTTGCATAACGTTTTGTCTCAGCTCAAAAAGATTCAATATAGTTCAGTTCACAATAGAACTTAGAATAAAAGATGCATATATAGCCAGCTGCTTCAATTACCTCTTGTATATATAATTTTTGTAATGCAAAATCAGATTGAGTAGAAAGAATACGTGTAGTACAATATTTTAGATTTTTTAGATCAGGTTTATTTGTTTTGCATGCATTATATCATTTTATAAGGCCTGGTATTCATAAATTACATTCTTCAAGTACTCGTTTAATTCCTTTAGGCCTTTTTATATCTTTGTCATCTTTATATGTCATTTCATGTACTGAACCATCTAGTTTGATACCATTACGAAGAAGTGGCATTTTAGTACTACTATTGCCCATGTTCATTCATGAGACTAATAAAGCATCTTCTGCAAATGCACCATAATTGCTACTATTATTAAACATAAATAGTACTATCTTGCTAGAGTGTGTTCATTCAAATATCAGTATAGCATATTCTTTTATTTAATTAATGAGATCATCACACTTCTACTAACCATTCTGATTTGAATCTGAATAGATAGTAACACAAGATTCAGTATATTTAAGATATAAATTGTTAGGAAGTTGACTATTTATATCACATTCATATTCTGAAAGTTTAAGACGTCCAATTGACTCACAGATGAAATCACTTACATGAATACTAAATCCTTATGATTTTTTACAAAACTTGCTTTCATCTTTTGGACCCCAAACCTTCTTTATACCATTGTTAGTATAAAATATAGTCTCATCATAAGTTACAGGAACTATTTCATAAATATCAGGAAGAAGCTTTGGCGAAATAGCATATTCTAAATTATTACCTTCATAAATAGTCATTTGAGCTTATAATCTAGCTATCACTTGCAAAAATTTATTTCTATATTCTATTATATCTTTGCATTCATGGCCATCAAAGTAAATAGTTTTTGAATAGCTTTTATATTTCCATCCAAGTAAATTTAGCTATCTACAAGCAGTTGATCTGCTAATAGTTGCTCTTTCTATAATTCCAAAAAAAGGAATAGCAATATTTTCTATCTAGTTTATGAAATTTAGAACAGTTAAGCTAAACTTATTTTCTTTCATATACTGTTTAATTTTTAGTCTAAATGTTTTGTTATATATGAGAGACTTTGTTTTTTTATGTTTTCCACACTTTGACATTATTAACTTTCTATTAGTATTCCATTAGTTTGTCCAGGTATGAATAAGTCATGCATACCACAGACCTTTACTAAGACTCTCTGCTAGAAGTTTGCTTGCTTCTATTTTAGTAAACTTTTTATTTTAAATTAACTGAAGATATTGTCTTATTGTATTAAAGTATATATCAATAGTTTCTATTTTTAATAGTATATTTAGTAATATTAATTTAGAATTATTATCACTAGTACTGCTATAGGCGATCTTAATAGATGAACAAACAGAGTTTGATACTGTATGTTGATTTTTATTGATGAGCTTTAATGCTATAACTTCATCACTTTTGCAGAAAGTAGCATTAGTCGATTTAATATGTTGCGAAGATAATTTATTATTCCAATATTCAGTAATAGCTTTTCTAGACTGTCTTGTATATTTACTTTGTTTTGGCATTTTTATTTTATTTTTATTTGTTATTTAAATCACAAGTTTCTTCGAAGTATATATATCAAAAAAGTTAAATATGTATGTAAATTTTAATCTGATCAAGTCTTTTTACGTATATATTTATATGTACGTATATATCTGAGATGTTCTATCCTAAACTGTCTACTATTCATATCTGTGTTTCATAACAATATTGCATATACATACATTTTGTCAAAAAATCTAATCTTTGAAATGAAACCTACCCAAAACTAGTTTCAGAAATATATACATGAAAGATTACTATATACGTATTAAAGAAGGGGAAAAGACATATCAACAAATATATACATGAATGAATGAATACTATATACATATTAAAGAAAAGAAAAATACGTATGTATATGTACAAGACTGTCTTAGAACTCACATAATAATTCTGTATTTGTATGTAATATGTACTACACATAAGCATTATTTCGAAAATCGTAATTCCTTAAAATATACATATGTATATATATATATACATATGTAGTCAGTTTTAAAATACCGCCTATGCGTATCCTAAAATAACGCATACTCTATATATATATATATTAATATTAATAATCATCTTTACATATATATATCTATTTACGTATTTTTTTTAAGTAAATAAGTATTTAGAGATAAGATTTATATTCTTTATTTTAGTTCTACTGATTAACATTAATAAATAATTTAAGGTTTAGATAATTAATTGCTCATAAAGAGTATTTTAAGATAGAGATAAAGTGATATAAAGTTACGTATATGTATATAAGTTTGTTTAGTATTCTTTTTTTGATATTTGTACAAGGAGTGAAGGGAAAATTTAAAAAATTGTTAATTTTAAACTAATTTTATATATGTAGATGAGATTGTTTTGGCTTTTTTGCTTTGTTCCAAACTTAGGATTATGTTAGCTAAGATCTGATTTATTTTTTTTATATCTGTTAAATCCTGATATACTCATGTTTAAACTAATAATTTAACCAATAATCTATACCTAAAAAAAAAAGAAGAAAATACTAATTTAGGGTTAGCAAATATAATTTATATTGTAAATTACATATATATGTCGTGTCTGAAGTTGCAACTTCAGACAGAAATGATCATTTATTTATGTTAGATAGCTGCACACTAAAACTAAGGACAGGAATATTGTATATTACAGATTCATCTAATTTTTAGTTAATATCAACTCTAAGTTAACATTTGATTGTTGACGAACATATACATACCATAAAAATTTACATAACTGACAACCTGAGTATAAAGAAATTGTATTTATAAATAAGTATTTATGTTCTTAATTTTTAATTCCACTGATTAACATTTATAAATCATCTTTATACTTTATGTGCTATTTGAAGAATACGTATTAAGTAATTAATTAATTATAAATAAGTATTTAGAGTTAAGTATTTATAAATAAGTATTTATGTTCATGATTTTAACTCCTCTGATTAACATTAATAATTATCTTTATACTCACATACTAAATGAAATGATCTAAAGTATATTAAATAATTAATTAATTGTAAATAAGTATTTAAAGTTAGGTATTTATGAATAATAACAAAACACTTAATAGATTCTAATGAACTTTTAAATAATAAATTTTTACAAAGATCCAATTAAATCCTACATAGTACTGAATAAGATCATGAACAAATAATATACATAGTAATTTCACTAAAGAGAGATGTAAATATTAAATTTTAGTTAATATTATTTTACATTCATTTAGATACTTGAGAACACCTTGTATATACAGTATATGGATGTAGATAAAGTTAATAGTGGTTAACTTACTATGATAAGTTACAAGAAAGTTATATGAAATTACTAAATTAAAGGCTCTCAAGTATCTTAATCAGTATGTCAAAAAGTGCATGTAAATAAGCTAAAAGCTATTGTAGCAGATCTGAATTTATATATTAGTTAGTTAATTTAATATACGTAGCAACTAGATTATCTTTGAAAAATCTTCATAGATTAAAAACAAAATTAGAATTTTAATGCATTTATTTAAACAATTTAATAATTATAATGATTAACAAAATAATTAAAATGATTAAAAATTTTAATTTTGTTTTGATTTTCCTTTGCTACTGTTTGACTACATAATATTTTAAATTAATTTACTTCTATCTTTTTTATGAACCTTTTTTGATTTTCAATTATCTTGTTTTCAAGATCATCCATTATCCTTTTATTATCACACATCGCTACTTCAATTCTATCTACAGCTCCTTTAATAATTTTAAGCCTTTTGATATCTGAATCATTAATTAATTTTTTAGACATATAAGTTGTAATATCTTGATACAAATTTGACATATCCGTTAATAACAAATTAAATTTGGATATTTTTACTCTATCAATAGTGGGCCTTGAGTATCTATTCACAATTGATGTTACAAATATTCTAATAGTTGTATTTTTAGGATATCAGAATATTACACCTTCAAAGATTTCAATATCACTGATGCTAACTTTATTTGTTTCGGAATAATTTTTACATTGCACAAAGACTAGGTAACCTTCATAGTTGCCAAAGATATTAATCCCACTATCTCTGCTAGACAATTCTGACAACCTATATTAAAATAAATATTTGTAAGTAGATGTCATAATTATCATTAAGATAAAATGCTTTGAGTGACTAAAATCAAGCATTTATCTATATATCTTATTCACCACAGCCTCAGAAGTCAATCAATAGCCTTGTGTAAGCAAAATATATAGTAGCTTTTCGGATTATATATTAGCAGAGAAGGACATTCACAGGTTTGATTATTCTAGTCAAAATAACTATCTGAGCTATGATACACTTTCAGTTCTCTGCTTATTATATTACCCTAGTGGCAGCATAACTTCAGATGTATAATGACTAAACAACTACTTAATGAAATAAATATCTCATCTAACTCTATGACAATCAATTCTCATAATAACTCTAAAAATTCGAATAATTCTAAATTCAAAGTCATTTCTTTTCGTAACTGAAGAAACAACTAAATTATTAAATTTGTCTATTTCAACTTTACTTCTATTTTGATCACAATTTCCATCAGAATTACCTATATCAGTAGATTTTTGATAGTAAGTAAGTACTTTTCATTTGTTTTTTTTATACTGGAAACTGTTCATTATTAAAAGATTTTGAAGATATACACTAAGTATGTGATATAAAATTCATATTTAATATACATATTTCTGTGGAAAAAATTTGAGAAAAAAAAACTTGTTAAAGAACAAAGAAATCTAATAATGTAATGTTATTTGTTTACTAACACTAACCTAAATTAAGCCAAGTGTTATGGGTCTCTTGTTCTTTAACCTTTCTCATTTTTTACATACTAGTATATAGCTACTATATTTTTACATATATGTATATACGTACTGTACATATATGTATGTATATACGTACAAGTATGCAACTAGTAATAATTTTATTAGATATTTATAAAATTCAGATCATCTGTAGTGATGTCAATTAATTTCAGTACAAAATACATAATTAAATTTTGTACATATAATAAATTCTAAAATACTTATGTATAGTTAAAGTTATGATTAAAGCTATAATTGATATAATAATAAAGTTTAATTAACTTTTTTATTATAATACATAATAAATTTTTGAATTTGAATACATATAATGAGTCATTAAATTTGAACATAATAATCATTTTTAAACTTGTTTTTTGATATGACAGAAATTTTAATTAAACTATTAATTTTATTTACTTACAATATAACACATTAAATGACTTACTTAATGATAATATCAAATATTTTAATATCTCAGGCTTCTTATTCAGATCTATATCTCTTTTCTTTTATTAGTTCAATTTCTGACGTCCATTTTTCTCTTTTTATTTCATCTATAATAACATTGTTACAGACAAGATCGAGCCAAATATTCAATTTCAAAAGCTTAGATATAGATAATCTCTGGGTATATTATTACTCAGATTACACAATTTAAAAAGTGAAATTCTAGAAAACTATTCATTTGTTCTAGATTTTTTTTTGTAGTACGTAGAAAACTAAATTTCATTTGTTTTATGTAGAATATTATATGTATGCTGATGATATGATCATTTTTTACTATATAAGACCACATAAAATTATATTATATTTTTTTTAAATTATATCTCTTCAACAAATAAGTTCTAACTTATAAAAAAAAAAGATGTAACCTTGTAGAACTTATTTAGAACTATAATATTACGAAT